TTCCTTCCCTTGCCCCGATGCCAGTTTGGGAATCCTCCTCCTCCTCCGACCTTCCCTTCAGCGGGGAGTTTCCCGTGCCACGTAGCAGCCGGTAGCGGGACGGGGCGAGGAGAGGTGTTTTGCCCCCTCCTTGCTCAGCCCGAGAAACTCCGAGCGGGGATCAGGCCTCTCTCTCTCCCCTTCGAGTTTCCTTTCCATTCGCTCACCTTGTGGAAAGTCCTTTTCGGGCGCCTTCCTGGAAGTCAGTCCCGGCTGCTTGGCTCAAGACGACAGCGACTCATCCAGGGGATGGTAGGGTTTCAAGGCAGGCCCCGGGGAGGAGAAGGTAGGCGGGTGGGGGAGTTTTTGCATCTAAAATCGAGGTCTGGTAGAAGGAGGGAATCCCAGGACAAGCTGAAGGCCGGCGGAGGGAGCAAATCGTTGTCTTGATGCCTGAGAAGATTCTCGGTCATCCGTAGGTGAGACGATCTTGTATTTACTTTGCCACTTCCTCCTTCTCTTTCCCAGTACCCGGTCACTTGGAAGAATCTGGCACTTACCTTCGTGATTGGAGGAGGAGTCGTAGCAGCAGTAAAACTTTTAAAGAAAAAAAAAGAAGAAGGTTGGTGTTATTTACAGTTATTTCTGTTTTGTCTCCATGGCCCCCAGTGCACCGTTGTAAAGGCACCAGATTGCTATACTTGATGGTGTGAAAGTGTCCACGCATGGCTGACATGGCTATGGTGTTGTTTATGTGTCCACGCATGGCTGACATGGCTATGGTATTGTTTCTAGCAGGGGTGGGCAGTTAATTTTTATAAGGGGGGGTTCACAAAAATCTGAACTGTGTTTGGGGGCCGAACCACTTTACTTAAACATAAAATGAAACAGTGATGTTATGATTGTTTTTATTTTAAACTTGTTAAACTTCACAAATACTAAAGAGGGTTTTTTTGCAGTATGTTAAAGATAAGCAACTGATCAACTTTAGACAAAAAGCTTTAAATGGTTTTGATGTTCAAAACTGTCCGCGGGCCAGACAGGAGCGGCTCGTGGGCCATATGTGGCCCTCGGGCTGCACTTTGCCCAGGTCTACTCTTTTTCCTTTTTTATAAATTGGAGTGATGATAGCAAGTCCCCAGTCCTCTGGTATACATGCAGGCTGGTTGATGCATGTAAATAGTGTTGCTAATACTGGGGCCCACCAATTAATATTGGCTTTAAGAATCTTAGTCTTAGTGTTTACTAGGAAATGGATCACAGAAATGGCAAATAAATGACCATCCAATTGAGCAAGTTAAATCTTATAAATATCTGGATGTGATCTTCCAGTCCTCAGGATCTTGGAAGGCTCAATTATCCAACACTATTGCAAATGCTCAGGGAAGTAGTAAGTCACTCATACATTTTTTCTTTGCAAAAGGAGGTCAGCATATACCATCAGCCATACAGGTCTTCAATGCCAAGGTGTTAGCACAGATGTTATATGGTGCACAATGGTGTAGTTACAGAAATTTTATT